AAGGAATTAAGATTCCTAGCTGGGAAGACTCTCTTTGTGCGCAAGGGGATGCGAATCAAATCCAGGAAAACAGAGAAGAAAAACCGCGACTTGCGTGCGCGGACGACCTGCGGAGACGAATGTCGTCCAAAAATCCATCTTTCAAGATATGATTTAATTTTTGTTTCTTCCCGTAATGTTTTATTTTTTCCCAGAACCAGAAGACATCTGTGCTCTTCTGGTCACTTCGGAACTAGAGGACGTGAAGGTCTTCTGGTTGCTCCGGAACCAGAAGGCGTGTTGGTTTTCTGGTCGCGCATCAGAGCAGTTCCGAACCGTTACAACAATAAATGTCCAACGTTCTTATGCCATTGAGTAACTTTAAATGGACAGTTTATGGACGATTCAATGCCCAACGGACTAGTCATTGATGTCCAACGTTCAGGTCCATTAACTCTCCATTAACACACAACAAATCCTCCTATAAATAGCTGGCAGGTGCTTTGCAACAACACATGCAATCATACACAATCTGCACATATTTCTTTAGCTAAAAACACCTCCAGCTCCCCCGAAAATTTCCTTAGTGTTCACACTTGTGTTTCTGTTCGCCGGAACTTTTGTTAGTGTGCTCTAGCGATAGTTCGTTACCCACCGTATCCTGGGAAACGATCGTTGCAACGCTGCTAGCACTGTGTGAGGCAACGAATACGTTTTAGGGACATCGTGCGTAGCATGAGCTCTGCTTTTCTGTTCCATCTCATTTATGTTTTCTTTGGCTATTTTATTTATTAATTAATTTAATTAATTAATTTTCTTCTTGTTTTTCGAAACACACCCGAGGGAAAGAAACACATATGTCAATTGTGGAAGAAGTTAGTACAATCGTGAAAGGGGGTTTGCTAAATAGGGTTTGTTTTAGTTTTTATTTTTTTCTACTCTAGAGTAGAAAAAAATACATTTAATGATTTGTCCTTCACCGAAGTAAATTTAACATATACAGAGGATAAAAAATTTGTCACATTTCAATTTTCATAACATTTTGAAAAACTAATAGAAGGTAACCATTCTTTTCATATTGTGCCACTGTAAAAAGGATCATGCATGTCCCTTTCAGTTTTCATAACATTTTCATAGTTGCTTCCAAATTGGCACAAAACTGAATTGTTTTCTAAAAGGAAAAAATAATTAAAATACCCTAAACTTTGAATGAGCGTGAGTTAAACATCTCAAACTTGCATATGTAATTTAAATACTCCAAACTTTATATAAAAAGTTATTTTAGCACCATAGACACGTATTATTTCTTTCAAAAATGTAAATTTATGATGTTAATTGCGAAATCTAAGATATTTTAACATTCATGAAGACACTGTTAACATTCTAAATTTTTATTGTGAAACAAATAATATTACCTCCAATCTATATAATTACAACACCTTAGATTTTTTATTTTAAATTATGCAATTAACACCACAAATTTACATTTTTGAAAGAAATAATACATGACCATGATGCTTAGACAACTATTTATATAATGTTTGGGATATTGATATTACATATGAAAGTTTGAGGTGTTTACCTCACACACCTTTAAAGTTTTGGGTATTTTAATTATTTTCCTCTTTATAAAAATGTAAAATTGTTTGCACATAGGTATACACATTTGGGCAATGATTTATTGACATATTAATATGCCCCTAAAATACACTCAGATTTTGTTTACTTTCAATAATAGTTTTTTTTATTAAACATATATAAACTAAGTTTCTACTTTAACGTTCCATGCAGTTTTAAAGTTTTGAAAAATAATTTTGGTTTTCCTTAAAAAGATTTTTTGAAAAATTATAAAAATGTTTACACGTTAGTTTTACATATTTGGGCTATGCTTTAATGTCATATATAAATATGCCTTTAAAAATACTCTAGGAATTTATTTTACTTTAGAGAATAGAGATATATAGCTAATAGTGTGATACCACTAGCGGTATCTAGAGAGAAGAGAGGGCAAATGAGTTGGAGAGTGTGTGTGTGTGTGAGCAATCATATTATATGAAAAGTGATATGTTAAAACTGCACAATGGGATGCTATTTATACTAGTCATAAATGTTAGGTGCATTAAATGCACATACACGTGTAAGTTAATCTATGGCAGGAAGCCCCCGTGATGCGGGCACGAGCACGTGGCACTACATTAAATGCGTAGTTGGTTGATGAGGAACGCTGGACGAAATGTCTATTTGTGCTGAGGCTGAGGGTTTCGCCCTCGGTGCCGAAGGCTGTTTACCGAAGGCTTTCGCGAAGAACCGAAGGTCTCAGTTCTCTTGTTGGGGCGAATCGGAGTATACGTCGTAGTTTGAGGCACTCGGGCTTGGGCCCGAAGGGTGTTTCTTGCCATGCTTGGGCTGTTTGTACTTGGACCGTTGTATCTAGGTTGCTTACGGTTGTATCCATTTGAGATAGTATGTATATGTGGACCGACCATATAAAATATATAGATTCTTTTAATAAATATACTCCATAAAATATAGAGATTCTTTTCTACTTTAACGTATGAATATATTGTCATTAAACATATGTTACCTTTCTTTGTACTCTTGAATCTCTCGAAGAGAGGAGTTTATGTGCAGCTTTGTTCCATAATATGCATTAGTTAGTCCCAACGTCCCTATGAATATTATACATTATTGATATCTTTATAAAATAAATTAATTGCGAAAGCATAACAATTAAATATAAAATTTTATCGTTAATCTTTTTGGCCTAACAGATTTCTGTGATTAAAAAGCATTCTCCATTATTATTGTCCAAGTATTCTGTAATCTGTTTTGCCAACTTCGCCCATAATGAGCATTTCATTTTATTGCCTTTGGAAAAAAAGTTGTGATGTTAAAAAAATTATATGTGTTTCGTTATTAATCAATATTTACTATTGATTTATTATTAAGTGTCTGGTAAACGGCGTTTCAGATAAAAAAATGGCGGTATAACCACTTTTAGGTTTTCAAAACGTGAAAAAGCTGTTTGGTAAATAGTTGTTCGGCACTAGCGTTTTTGGCCGAAAACTTGATATGAAAATGCTGTCAATAGGAGAGTTTTAGGTTGACGTTTTGAAAAATTGCGTTTTCCACTAGTTTTATGGCCAAACAGCTAAATTACCAAACATCTTGTGACAACCCGCCAATTTATTCCGGTAGTTAAATTCGCTGATTGAATTCGCTATTGACAACCCGCTAACATAATCCGCTATCCATTGAATGCCAAACACGCCCTATATATTAGTAATCTAAAAATACTTTTGATCTTCCTAAAGAAATTCAAAAAAAAATTCTCTTTTGCCCATCAATCACCATCTCCTTCATAATGTTCTTCTCAACAACATTTGCGATTACATCTACAAAAATTTAAAAGTAATTAAAATGCAATTATTAGAGTGTTGTTCAAACATAATGCTGTAATATAGTACTTCGTATAAGGAAAACTGTCAATTTGGTCCTCGTACTATCATGAAAAGTCAATTAGGTCCTCATACTTTTAAAAAATCAATAAGATCCCCGAACTTAATAAAAACGTTCAATTGAGTCCATTTGCAGATTTATTGCCATGTTAGAAGATCACCCGTTGACGTGGCGCACATGTGGTGGTCCATGTGTGCACCACATCATCAACAAATGGATGACTAGGCTTTCACATGTGCGCCACGTCATCAAAGTCACTAATGATTGGCCTGCTACGCGTGCGCCATGTCAGCGGATGACATGTTGACGTGACAAGTAGTATGCAAATGGACTCAATTGATTGTTTTTACAAAGTTCGGGGATTTGATTGAATTTTTTAATAGTAAGAGGACCTAATTGACTTTTTCATGATAGTGCGAAGACCAAATGGACAATTTTCCCTATAGTATAAAATCAAGACTTACTGTAGTATGATCCCTCATATTTTTCATCCAAAATATCATTAAAGTTAGAAAAGTTAAAATGATCCCTCATAAATATGTATGAACACATGGTTTTTACGTGGAACCCCGAAAGGGAGAAAACCACGAGACTTTTTAGGCTAATGTCCAAGCCCTCTCGTTCTCATTAGGCTCTTCTCATTGAAGCTCCCATTAATGGAGTTCTAAGCTAACCTATTCTAAAGAGAAGGAGGAGGAAGCGGGAAGAAGAGACCAACCCTTAACATGGAGGGGGGAAACCTTCTATTTTTATGGAAAAGGGATAGGGGAAAAGCCTACCCTAATGGGCCAAGTGGGCCAGAAGGGGACCCAAAGGCCGAAACATGTCCGAATGACCCTTGCCATTTGGGCTATGCACTGGGGTAATGTCTTCGGCCCTCGAACAGTAGTAGACCGAGATAATATACCCCAACAATTTATAAGAGTCTAGTATTGTACGGAGTATGTGTTATGAAGGTCAACATGTCTAGAAGGTTCTCATTTTCACCCTTTCTAAAAATGACCAACACAAATCAATATCATAAAATGAAAATGACAAAATTAATCAATGAATACCCCTTAAATCATTATTATTCCCGATAAAAGATGTTATTACTTGAACTTATTTCAATTACAGACCAAAGCCGATTAGATCAATCATACCAAGCATAAATAGATCATACCGTAACAAATCAAACCAGATCTAACTTCAAAAAAAAAACATATAGCATGCATCTTCAATGTTAGACGACCAGACAATATCTGACTCAAGGAGACCAAACGAGAAAATATTCACCCTAAGTTAAAAGTTAAAACATGAGTTTTTTACACAAATATTATCAATATATTTTGGGTTTACAAAAAAGTGAGTAACTACCCATCTCCTACGGCAATCTAGGAGTAGTTATAGGAAAATCACTTTTGTTCTTTCAATTAGTAACCATATTTTTATTAGAGAGATTTAAAGTAGTAATATATGTGTAATTTTTTCTTAAAACATCGATCATAAATTCCAAATAACTTTTTCAACTCGTATTTTTTCGTTCAAAAATAGTTCGTATTGCGCGGCTGCCAAACACGGACTAAAGCTTCTCCAAATGTAAACCCTAACAAGTGGAGGCAGACAAACTTTTTTCGTTCAAAAATAGTTCGTATTATATAAATCTCTCATTCTAGTGGTTCAGAATGCAATTCTCACTCCTTCAACCCTAATTTTTCTATAGGGTTTTTCATCCCACCCCCAACTTCGGTGCATCCCCATCTAAGGGGGTCTTTCTTCCATCAGAATGGGCAAAGCAAAGGTAACTCTATATAGTCGACAACCTATGTCTGTAATTCAGAGTTTCGATCTTGTGGAAGTTTGTTTATATTTATAGATTTTAAAATTTAATTTTGATTTGGTTCTAGGTTGCTGCTGCTCCTGTTTCAGCTGCCCCAACTAAGCCGATGAAGAAAGGTTCTATTTTTTATAATTGTCTCGCTCATGTTCGTTTCTGTGCATGATTTTCTGTATTGCTTCGAAGTTTTGGAGGGCTTAGTGTTTTGTCTATTTTTAGGCAAGAGAGAGGCACCAGTTTCGGCTCAGAAGCCCAGCGCAAAAAAGCAGAAAAAAGGCTCAGCAGTAGAACAAGCTGTGGAGAAGAAGATGGTCGAGGCAAAGACTAAGAAGAAGGTGGAAAACAGTTTGGAGGAAGGAACTCCCGATTCTGAAAAGGTCAGCAAAGTAGTATATACAGCATTAATTTCTTCAATTATCTTTATATTATACTGTAACACTCATTGATTTGAGCTTTAAAAGAAATAAACTTTTTATTCTTATTTTTATGGATCTTCTTTTGGCCATCTACGTGGTGTTAGTTCGGTGAATTTCATGTCCTGTATGATTTCATGACGTATTTATCGAAGCTTCTACGTTGACTTCTAAAATGGTTTACTTTCTTGCATTCAGAAACCTGCTGCAATCAAGGATGACAGTGTTGTGAAAAAGAAGGTTACATCTACTGTACCAGCCCCTGTAAAGAAGGATGAGTGCAGTTCTGATGAAGAGGGTAGTTCTGATAATGATGAGGACGTGGTTGTGAAGAACACCGTTCCTAGTGCACCTGCACCTACCAAAAAAGTTGAAAGCAAACCAGTAAAAGATGAAGACGAAGAAAGCTCTGATGAGGACGGGGATGAAGATGAAGAAAGCCCTGATGAAGATGTAAGTTCTTATGTTTAGCATCTTCCGGGCAGGAAGCTATGGCTCTCTTCATATTAGCCTGCCTTTTTTCCCGATTAATCCTTGTAATACCATATTATCTTTTTCATCTAAATAATTTTTCAGGTGGCACCAAAACTGGTTTCTGCTAACCAAGCCAAAAATGGTGCAGAAAGTGAGGAAGAAAGTGAATCAGCTTCTGAAGAAAGTGGATCAGATGAGGAGGATGCTTCTGCTGAGAAGGAGGCTCCCGCAAGTGCACCTGCCTCTACAGAAGTAGATGAAACCAGTACAGAAGAGGATGAAGAAAGCTCTGATGAAGATGTAAGGTCTTTTTATGATAAATGTCTGGTGGAATGCAATTGATTCAATGACCGAGCATGCCTTTCTTTATCAGCAATTCCTCGTAGTATTTTCATATCATTTTTCACCTGGGGTAAATTAATTTTCAGGTTGCACCAGAAGCAGCTGCTCCTTCAGTTAGCAAAAAGGTTCTTTGAACGTCCATACTGCCCTTGTTTTAGATTCTTTCACTTTTGTAGCCTTGATTTTTTCCCATCCTATGGGACTATTGGTTCGCCAGAGCCTCATCTAGGCTCTTGTTTCACACCTTAGTTTCAAATGGTGGGCTTAAATGTTTTTAAGATACTGCTTGTGACTGTACATCCATTTTTATGTGGCAAAGGGTACTAATGGTGATGACGAGGATGATAGTTCTGATGAAAGTGAAGATGAGGAGCCAAAAAAGAAAAAGACCAAGGTATGATTGCAGGTTTCGTTTTGTATCTTCATTGTAATGAGCTGTGTTTATTTGAAATTGTCTCAGCCTAGATTCATTCCAGGCCCTAAAGAAAATTAGCAAGTGATTTTAATTATGCCTGTGTTATTTTTATTGGTTTATTGGAGATTGTCTCATTGGTTTCAACTATTTTGGTTCTGATGAAATGTAGTCTCAGACACCAGTCACTCCCAAGGCTGAAGCAGAAGGGTCAAAAACTCTCTTTATAGGGAATTTGGCATGGTCTATTGAGCAGAGCGATGTGTATGCCATTATACTTCACCTTGAAATAATAAAGCATATTGGTGTATGTTAATGAATTTTGTGCACTCAACTTGCAGTTTAAATTTCTTTAAAGATGTCGGGGAGGTCAAAGAAGTTCGATTTGCTGTAGATCGAGATGGGAAGTTCAAGGGCTTTGGACACGTTGATTTTGATACATCTGAGGCTGCTCTCAAGGTAAAGTGTCTTTGTTAGATCTCTATTGCTTAAAATTTATTTTGCAATCTTGATTTTTAACTATTATGCACATTCTCTTGCTCTTTCATGATTGTAGCAGTATTAGTAATGTCTTTCATTTTATTATTGCTATATCTAACCTGCTTGATTTTTGTTCTGCAAATGAAGGCTCTTAAACTTAGTGGTCAAGAATTGGCAGGCCGTGAAGTGAGACTTGACCTTGCAAAAGCGAGAGGGGAGTTTACTCCCAATAGCGGGTATGCCATCCACACCTTGCTCTTTTGTGAGTGGTGATGATTATGTTGTAAATCTGTAATCCCCTTTTTTTGTCCTACTTTACTGTAGGAAACAAGATGACTCCCGCCAGAAGCAGGGCAAAGCTGAAGGTACAACTGTTTACGTCAGGGGGTTTGACAAGGATGAGCCTGAAGAGAAGGTGCTTCTACTCATCTTTCACTGTTTTGTGTAGACTTTGGGTTTTCATTCTTTACTTCATTGATTTCTGATGGCTTCTCTTTGAATACTCTTTGCAGATTAGGAGTGCTCTAGAAAAGCATTTTGGTTCTTGTGGAGAAATTAAAGGCACAAGAATCCCCACTGACCAAGAGGGTTCCATTAAAGGGTATGCTATATTTGCACTTCAATTACATTTGTGAACTGGTATTTATTGCGAGTAAACGTTTCATGTTTGGTTTACTAACATGTCTGCACTTGTGTCCGGTATGGTTGTATTTGTGCATGTGTATTAGTAGTTTTACCAGGCTTGACTAGTTTAGTAGTTTTTGTTGCAATTTGGCTTGAATTTGTTAAATCTACAAATGTAGTATTTTTGTTGAGGTCCCTAAAATTTCAATTTTTGTTTCCACCTCTATCACCTCTTGGCTTGGCTTCTTACATAAATCTGCAGTTTTCATGTTATTCACTCTTTGACTTGTTAATCAATAAAACACACATGCCTAACATGATTATTGTATTTCCTTTTCACATCGTTTCATTTTTTAAAAAGTATTTAATATCTTTTCTATGATATCCTATTTAAAAAGTGAATGATTAGTTTTGCTTATTTTTATCTACATTAATAGCCTCCATGAAGTTAAATTTCTGACATTCATAGTTTAAGGTGACTAGAAAGAAAACACCGTACTTTTAATCTGTTACTCCGTATTTTTTAATCTCAAAGTCTTTGACGTTCTCACCCTTCTATCAAGTGTCTGAACTCTGAAGTTATTCGTTTCAAACATCAACTTTATAATTTTTGTAAATGAATAATGAATGTCAAAACCAACATTATACAAGTCTTGCATTGCAACATTAACTGCTGCAACCATAAAAGAACATACGTTAATTGCAGGAATGAGAACAAAAAACGCAACTTTGAGATGATATAACAGCGCATTTTTTATACTTGCAGGGACGAAAATTATAGTTTTGCCTAGTCATTATCATCATCATCATTTCATATAAAACCAATGTAAATTTGATAATTGATCATTCTTTTACCAGGATGGCATATGTTGAATTTACTGATAATAATGCAATGAAGAAGGCCCTTGAACTGAATGACTCGCAAATGGGAGATGACACATTGTTTGTGGAAGAAGCTAAGCCAAGAGGTGATAGTGGTGGAAGAAGTGGTGGACGTGGTGGTGGAAGAAGCGGTGGACGTGGTGGTGGTGGAAGAAGCGGTGGGAGGGGAAGGGGTGGTAGGAGTGGTGGCCGGGGAGGGGGACGTGGGCGTGGACGATTTTGATGAAAGATATATCAAATTGGGTGGAGCAAGAAGTTCCCAATTTTGCTTATTTTAAAGTCTTATAATTGTTGTTTTTTGGGGAACACATTGAACGTATTTCCTGTGCTGTTTTTATAATTGTTTTTTGTAGTGCACGACTCTTTTTTTTAAGTTCTCATATCTCAACCCAAAGATTTCACCTTGTTATTTCTATTATCAACTGTCAATAACTCAATATCATCACCTTTGATTGAATACCTGTTGGCAAACACTAGGGGACGGGCAGTCGAAAAAGACGAAAAAACTCATGGCTCAACGCCTCAACTCACCTCGCTGCCTGTCTCCCTCTACCAGAACCTTTTATGCATATATTCCATCTTCTGGACCTCCGGTCATACTTTGAAGACTGTTGTCTGCCCTTCTTGCAAGCCCGATGAGGCGATGAGGATTGTCACAACCGGTGACATGATGAACACCGCAGACAAGGTTGTTGCCAACGCCTCAACCGACGGACTTGTAGCCTCAACCACTCTTCAAGACATCACAATAACCCTTCCTCACCGTAAAAGCCGGAAGAACACCCACACTCAGCGGATCGCCCGCTAGACCCATACTTCAAAGCTAAGGGTGGTAGAAACGAATCAAAACCCTACCAACTACCAAGTGATCCAAGAGGGGCAATAGGGAAGATAGACCGTTTTCATACAATTTGTCCGAAGTCTTTTTAGTAACTTTTGTTTTATTTTTCATAAATTAAAACAAGTTTTTGAAAACTAAAAGTGGATGTAAGTTCACAATTAAATGGAAACTTCTCTTCGCAAAAAAATCAAATGGAAACTTTTCAATTATTGTTGATCTGAAGTTGCAAACATGATGAACAAACAAAAATTCTTTTTTACACTTTTTTATACACATCAGTACACCCCATTGTCTGTGAGAGTTTTTTTTTGTCTGTGAATGCCAATTTACAGACAAAACCTGATTTGTTTTGTCTGTAGAATTTTCCACAGAAAAAACAAGCTAGGTTTTGTCTGTGAACTGACATTTACAGACAAAAAAAACTCTTACAGACAATGGGGTATACTAATGTGTATAAGAAGGTGTACACCAAGAATTTCCCATGAACAAATTACAAATATCCACGGGACCTTTTTCTGCAAGAGAAGATATGATAATAAAGAAGAATGTTCCAAGAGAAGGTGCAGTGGTGCACTGTTCTTTATTACATATTTAACCAATTATTTAACGCAGTTAACCAAATATTTAGCGTGTGTTTTCCATATAAATCTCCGGAATTCGGACTCTAGCACTTGAGCTAAGATATTTTCAGAATCTTTCAGAATTTTGGAATGTCCGAAATGTGGCGAAAAGATTAACCAAAGCGTCTAGACAATTTTCTTTATTTTCTATCGAGGCATCATTGATCAATGAATCAATCTATCATTGAAATGCCATTTTTTATTTTTATATTTAGCATATAAAATTGATTAGACATTTTTATGTTGAAAAGTTTTAAAGATTGGACGAAAATACGTAATATGTTATGTTAAATACTTAAATGTCATTGTCACTTGCAGCTATATCTCTAGAAACATTACAATAATATTTAAATATGTAGGGTGATAAGCTTAAAATACTAAGTATATATATATATATATATATATATATATATATATATATATATAATAAATAATAAATAATTACATTAAATTAAAATAAAAAATTGCTCCCTCAGTTCCATTTTAAGGTTCCCACTTTCATTTTTTGGACGTTTCATTTAAAGGTTTTCACTTTCTATTATATGACACAATTAACATTCTTAAATGACAATTTAATCATCAAATACTAAAAAAATACATTTATAAAATCACAGTTATCATTAATAACCCATAATATTATATACTCATCAAAATTATTTCTCAAAATATACTCGAAATTAGCATATTTAATTATCGTCAAAATAATTGTGCCATTTTGACGTAGGAACCTTTAAATTGAATAAGTTAATATGTAGAAGGGAAAATTTCCCAAATAAGACTAACTGAAAAAGTGCAAGATCAATATGGGTATAATTCTTAAATTCCCTAAGTAGGTCTAAATTCAATTTTACCTTTGCTTTGTTTTAAAACATAAAATGAAACAATAAATGTAAAAAAATGAAACAAAAATTCAATAATGAACACATAAAAGTAATAACATAACTTATTTATAATAAAATGTCAAAAAATAAAAACTTGATTTTTTTTTAAATTTAAAAATAAAATAATAATGTAAAAAAATTTAAAATTTAAAAATTCATTTTTTTAAAAGTTTTAATTTGTAAAGTTATGTAAAAAAAATAAAAATTCAAGTTGTTTAGTTTTATAATAAAAAATTTACAAATTTAAAAAATTTAAAAATAAAATAAAAAAGAATAAAAATGTTAAAATATAAAAAATTGTTATAACATCATGATCATATGTTTTTTTTCAGAAATGTTATTTTATGGTGTCAAGTGCATAATATAAAATACAAAAAACACTTATAAGGATGTAATTATAAATTAATGGTACTGGATGTAATATTATTTATTTCACAAATGAAAGTATAGAATGTTAATTGTATTCTAATAAAGTTTAGAGCATTTTAAATAATGTAATTGTTTCAATAAATTTGTATTTTAAAAAGACACAATCATGGCATGAAAATAACTTTATAGATAAAGTTGGGGTACATATATTATATATACAAGTTTGGGGTACTTATCTCACACCGTACCCAATAAAAGCTTTATATTATTTTCCCCTATCTTTTTTAAAATTTATTTATTTTTATTACTCCCTCCTTATTTAAAAGGTCACTACATTAGGTTTTGCCACAATATTTAAGCCAACATTTAAGGGGAAAATAATAGGGTTTATGTTGCACGGAAACGCAAAAATCATATGAAAACGGAAAACATCAACTTTTGTTCAAATAAAGGCTTGTTTGGAGAGTTTCCGAAATGGAAACACCCTCTTTCCCGAGAGTTTCCGTGCTACATAGAGTAGGGGTAATGAATAATGTAGTAAAAGAAGGAGAGAAGGTGAAAAAGTAGAAAAGACAAGATTAAAAGTAGAAAAAGTAAAGGCATTTGAGTATTTTTAAAGGAAAAACTTACCAAATAGAAAAATGTAGCAAACTTATAAATACATCTCAAATAAAAAAGTGTAGCAAACTTTTAAATACGGGGGATTATTTTATATATTTACGATTTTTAATAAATTAAAATATTTTTTTATGATTTTTATGTTTTTATTACAAATTAAAATATGATTTTCTTATTATGTTATAATAATATGGGTATTATAGGAAGATAGAGTATACATGAGTTCTATCTATATTCTGAGAAGGTAAACAACACAATCCCTATTTATGCATTCACGGATTAGTTTACTCATATTTAGAGCTATTTTCCTTCGTAGAATCAATCAAACACTTCCACATGTAATAAATATTTAAACTGAAACTTGGTGAAATAGTATACACATACATCATAATAAAAATAAAACAATGATAATCCTATTTATGAATTTATTTTTGTTTTAGTTCTATATAATTTTTTTGTTCTTTGTTGCTTGTGTTAATGTGTTTCTTCTTAGCCCCGTGAATAGGTGCGGATCTACCATGGGGGCTGGGGGTAAGGGTAACTGCCCCCAGCCCCCCACTCAACTCCACCCAATCCCTACATGGCTAGTGCTACATGTATATTAATCAAATATAAAATTATAGATGTAATTATGTAAATATGTATTACAAGTAAGGATGATGTTATTATACATCAATAACTAATAACGAGTATGTTAGCAAAGTGGAGGTTGCCTTTCATGCGTGTAATAAGTTTGATAAATGGTTCGATCAGTGTTTAAATCATATATAGGATACAATCGAAGAGGAAGACACGAATTGCTTTGCAATTAAATAATTATAGACAAAGCAAAACATAATTCTTTCTTGCGGCCTCAGTTTTCTTCACCTCTTACGTACCCCAATATATACGTCGACCCCCCCCCCCCCCCCCCCCCCAACCTCTTAGGCTCCTATATAACGTGCGAGTCAATTCGAAAAGTTCAGATTCGCTGGTTGTGCACGTAAATTATTAACGTAAGCAAGTCGTAGATACATATACTATTCGTCGTACGACCGACCGACCGGCCATGATGCAGCCGCAATTGCTGCACGGAAAGCTGGTTGCGACGGTGTATGGGCTTGATAGGAAGATTTCCAGTGGTTCCTGCGGTTGCACTGGCGGCGGCGGCTCTGCCCAGGTAATTAATCGCCCCCTTCCGCCATTTAGCATGATACTACGTACTACCTCCGTTCTCTTTTAGTTGCAACATTGGACTTTTTGCACTATTCACATGTTCTACTTTGACTACATTTTATTAATTGATGTATAATAAATTAAATATTTAAAAAATATTGTTACATTCTTCTCATTCTATATTTTCAAAATATGAATTTTTTAATTTTTTTACTAATAAGAAATAAAAGATATTAATGGTCAAACTTGTGCATTGACAAACGTGAAATGTTGACTGTTGCAATTAAAAAGGAACGGAGGAAGTATTTATTATCAACGGAATAAATTTATTTATTTTAATAACTGCATCACCGTAGCTAGGGAGGGGCCAACTCCGACCCCGACTCATCACAAATTTTAAAAATATTTATATTTCTAGGGAAAAACTCCGTGTAAATTTTTTCTCAAAAATGGTCTTTGTACCGATCCAGTGCACTGACTGCCTCTGACTCCGCCTCTGCCTACTCATGTCTCATCACCCAAAGTTAATACTGAGTATTTGATACTTCATCATTGACTTTTAATTATTCACAAACAAAATTTCTTTTATGAAATGAAAGTATTTGCCAAGTATAACTTTCAAGAGAAAATTGCTAGCAATATAACCGAAAGATGTGGTAATTCCTAAATAATAATAATACTAAATTATATTCGAAATTAATAAATTGAGCTTGTTTAGCTTATACGCAGTATCTCATTTTACGTGAAATTCGTGTTCATTCTAACTTTTGAGGCGATTTTCTCCCCTCCCCGGGATGCCCATCCAAGATCTTATTTTGAAGAGACCCTATTTTGAAAGGGATAAGGTGCATATTGTCCACTAAGGGAGTGTTTGCAACTGCTTCTGCTTAAAAAAAAGCACTTTTGGAGAAGTAATGAAAAAGTGATTGATAGTAAAAGTTGATAGTGTTTGAGAAAAAAGTGATTTTGAAAA